AGAAGATGAGGAAATGCCTATTATAGAGATTGTAAGACTGGGTAATATTGTATACTTTTTTAGTCAAGATAATTATGATTATTTATGTGACAGCTGCATGTGAAACAGCAACTTAAATATTACAAGCTACATATTACTTCATAATTATATATATTTTTAAATTCAGCAGGGGCATGAGAAAGCTAGGATTCCCCCTAAACTTCAGTTCCCCCTCTAAAATAGTCTGGGTATATGAATTTAATAAAAGTGTTCATGATGTTTTCTGTAATTCACTGTTATTCATTACAAAAACACACAATTGAAATCATGTGTACAATAGTTCATGCCTAAAAATCAGCTTTCACTTGATTAATGCAATATCACAAAATTAAAATTGCCCTGTTATTATTAATTTTTTCATGTCCCCCCAACAAAAAGTTCTTGTCTAAGTCCCTGATTAAGCATGCATTAGTTAACTTATTTCACTCTACAGTATCTGTTAAAAGTTCTTGTTACTACTAGTCACATCATAATGCTTATAACTATAGATGTGTCTACATGTATTAATAGCTAGACAACTTTCTGAGCTATAATTTCATTTATGATATAAACTTACCTTCCATGCAGCAAAACTTCTTTCCATGCCATGAGGATCAACCATTCGGTCATCATCAACTGAAAATATTGCTACAAGACCAAGTGAGTAAAATATTAAATCATGTGCTTCCTTACAATACCTTCAGTTTCTATTTCTGGGTAAGGCCAAAATCGTGACGTTAAGCTATTTTCTGTCATAATCTTAATCTTCACTGGTACTCGACATTTAAAATCCTTTATCTGACCAGGCACTGGCTCCCCAACATTATTCCACAAGACTAATATTTTATGTACATTGGAAATGTTACAATAATGACCTATGATAGTAGGCAATTGATTGCTACGGTTATAAGTTGGCATGACAACAGTGAACTTGTTCCTTGTGTAGTTTTTGGAATAGTTAAATGGTAGATAATCATATTCAGGTCCTTTAGGAGGGCTGTGAGAGTAGGGCTTTGATGGATTATAGTAAGCAGACATGTTTGGAGCACGAGCATAAAAATATAATCCAAGAGAGTTAATTATTATGAAAGCAATCAGAAATATCACAGCAGCTTTAGTGAAGGCTGTAGATAAGAATCCCATGATTGGCAAAGAATGAAGGAGAGAGAGAGAGAACCAACTGAGCCTACAGAGCAAATTGACTGTATGCTAAAAGGAAATTGACTGTATGCTTTTGTAATCCCACAAAGTTGAGGAAGGGGCTAAATAAATTATAGCTATAGATCTAGCATGACCATATAAGGCTGCATATCTATCATGTATTACTATATACTGGATAATGGAATGACTGGAGTAGCAATGTTTGCACTTTTCAATACTATAATGTACACATAAAGTATATTCATGTACACCTATCAGGAGCAGTATAATACTGCTGGTGGTAGGTGGTGTACATGAATATACTTTATGTGTACATTATAGTACAAACATTGCTACTCCAATCATTCCATTATCTATCATCATGTTACAAGCAGTACATATATTTGCCCTCGGTTTCTAAATTCCATAAACGCCTCATAGGAGGTGTTTATCTGTTTTAAACATATTCATGGAGACATAGTTATTACAAGTGGCTCAAGCAAATGTAGTGGTCTCCATAGCATTTGGACACCTCATTCATATCATTAACATCAAACAGAATTATTCATGAATGGTTTAAAGTAATGTTTCTGTTGCCAAATTCTGTAATTATATAGAAACCAGTGAATGGTTTTTGATGTGCAGACCGTCAAGTTACATTGTAACAATACTGTATGTATAGATCTATTAAAGCTAAGGTACTCACAACTGAAACATACAATATCTCATTAGCTAATATCACTTAAATAAAAATGGAAGCTGCTTTCTTGTACTTGAGCGACTTGTATAACGTAAAAGATAGTTTCATTATTATTATTGTTTCTTGTGTTAGCATTTTCTCATTCTGCTATGATCTCCATAGCCATGCAGAAGCTTGTGGATAATTTTTGTCTAAGAAAATGAGCATTCTGATAATTGAGAAAATTTTTGGCTGACAAAACTTGGAGCTTATTATTTTGACATCAAACTCAAAAAATTTTCATGCTACGCAATGAGCAAGTCATAATTGTGACTGTATTTTATTTTCTCTTGCTTATTTGTTTTTTGTTTTTCTTTTTTTCCTCTTCTCTTTTTCTTTTCCTTTCTGGCTGGCCATGTTAAGTGTTTCTATTGTCTTGCTTTGTTCCCTCCTCCTACTTCTCCTGCTACTCATTGTCACTGTAAAGTTTAAATAAAATAAATAAATAAATGAAATGCCAGGAATCAAACAAAATTACGAAAATGGTATAGCAACAATTATTAACAATATTACTAATAATAATACTAATAATATGTGGCAGTTTGTAGTATCTGTGGTGTTTCTGAAGCTGAAACTAGCATATTCATTAATATTTGTGATTTGCATAGGTGTGTTATCATTTCTGGCCAGTTTGTATGTTGTTGTAGTACTAGTAGCTCATCAACATCATGCACAGTCACAAATTGTGCTCTGTTCACATTAAATATACCGTAAATCAGAAAATTTGTGTCGTAGAAAATTTTTGTGTTTTAAAATTGTGCTGTGATTTAATTTTTACTATATTAGACTGTGTCATATGATATTGAATGCATCTGGTATGTAATTTATGGGTGATCTATTTTTGCAAAATTCTAATCCAGTAACATTAAAATCACAGTAACAAGCATAACAGTGGAAAAATATTGTGTACATGCAAACAGCAAAGGCCCCCATCTCTGGGTCTCTGGTTGTAGAACACAGGCATCTTAGGCAGCATACCTTTCCTACATTCTTTATTAGTGGTTAGTTTAATGTATGGAGGTACTTCACTAAGAGTTACTGAGTCTTTGATTCATTTCTTAGAA